CGAAGAAAACGAGGAAATCTATGAGATAGAAATTCCTATGATGATAAATGTGCAAAGAAAATCTACTGAACAACATACAACGAAGAAGAGCAAAAGGAAAGGAAAAACCTCTCACGACCGCATTTACAAAAAATGTAGTCCATAACATAATGCATCTGTTCCAGTGTGGTCAATAGGACAGAAACGACAGAAAAGGAGACTGATGGTTGACTCTAATATTGGATCAGAAGTTAAGATTTTTACAGGATGCGATATATCTCTAACAACTGCGTTCTATGCGAAGAAAATAGCAGATTTTACTTTAGTTTTCGAATGCATTTATCTGATGGAATCACTTATTGAAAATTTCAGTTATTACCAAGACTCTAATAAATGAGACAAACGACTCTACCTAATTCGGAAAATTTCCAAAAAATCCAGAGTGTGACCTAAACTTCAAAGTAATGCAATCATAGAACTTCGTGTTTTGTTTTCATGGCAAGCAAAGTAAGTGTATGAATTACCTTTTGGATCACCTGTACTTCCACTGGTGTACATGATCACGGCTGTATCAGACGGTTTAGGTGGTTCCGGCTCTGTCGGGTATGCTTGACCTATTCGAACTAATTCATCATAAGTGATGATGCGAAGACCTTTGATTTGAGCCATGCGAAGCAATGTATCTGTTGGCTTTTGTAAACTAACAATTGTGTTCAGTGGAGATGTTTCTTCGTGACACTCTATCAGATTTTTTAAACGATGCATGTTATCGGTAAATATCAATTGAAGTTTAGCATGCTTCGTAATAAATCGTAGATCATGCAAACTAATGGAATCATAAATGCCGACCGGTACACATGAGAATGGCCAAAGTGAATAGAGAAATATACCATAATGAACAGAAGTCGAACCGTAGATGCCGATGAATGTACTGTTGGATTTTCGCAAACCAATATGAACTAGACCACTACCAATCTCATGTATGATCTTATAGATTTCACTAAGAAAAAAACATGACACTAAGCATTAGTGATAACAGAATGCAATAAAACTGCATAGGTGACAGTACTTTTTATGACATTTTTTTTATAGAAGTAGCTATGAACTTTGTTTTGTTTCGCAATCGAACGGATAAACTTTACTTAAAGCATATTAGATCAAAAATTATTGTATGAAACTTTTCCGAAAACCATTTATTATATTAAGCACCATCTAATAAGAAGAAACTAAACATTATACTCGATCCCCGAAAAATTACTATTTTTTTTGTTTTGTTTTTATGCATTCTGTTGAAGTATTAAAGCTTTTTTTTCATATGCTAAAGGTAACTATAGATAAACAAGTCAATAGATGCGCACACTGTAACGCGATCGATATTTGCTTTCAAATTGATCTGCTTGAAATACAGATTTTTGAATATTAATTACTTTTCACATCGCAATGATAATACATCGGAATGTTGAGATATTGTATTGTTTTTCACGCAAACAAAAACAAAGTAAATGTCATCACAGAGTTCTGCAAACTATAGAATTGAATGTTGCTTAGCTTTCGAACAAAAAAAAGAGTTAAGCAATATCTCCGTCTCACGTGGATGAAAATAAACCATTAATTCTCTATGAAATCGATTTTACTTGAGACAAAATTTTGGACGCGTCTATTCTCTCATATTGTCTATTCAAAAGAATCGGCTAGATATTACTTTTTGGTTACTATATGTGTTAAGGTTGTTGAGTGATTTCTGCTATTGTTTCTTTTATATCTATTTAACTTATTCCTGTCAAATAAAATTTCGTTCTTACTGAAACAAAATGCTACGCTTTTAATATAAAGTTTTTCTGCTAGCTTTTTTCTGGCAATCCGTTTTCGCTCGATAATTTTTGATTCATGCACTTAGTGCATACATTTCCAATTTTTCAAGGATCAATCATGTCATTGTTCTTCGTTTCATTAATATTGAACTTTAATAAACGATTTTATTCTATAAAATGTAATTTTTATTATACTTTTTGTTTTAAATAAATGAGTCCTGTTTGAATATGTATGAATAGATCAAAGATAGAAAAAGCAACTAAAACGAGGAAAGAGAAACATAAGCAGATAACTCAGTAAAGAACGCTAGAAAGTAAATAGTAAGTCTTATGTACTAAAATATGAATATCCTTTTCTATTACAGTGTGAATCGATTCGAATCGAACTGAATAGAACGCTAGTTCGATTGAATCGAATTCGAACAAAGATTTCCTTGTTTTTTTCGATCTCTGTCATCCTATTGAGCGTGTTAGCTACGTAACTAGCGGAGGTAAGGTGTCCAACTAAAATTTTGTGTAGAAACCTGGTACAAACTTCATGGATTTATCAGCATATCCTATTCTGATACTGTCGAAAATGATTTCAATAGATTCATGAATGTTTTTAAAATTAAAAAAACACTGTAACTTATAAGAGAATAATCTTCATTTACAGTTCTCCTAATCACAGATAATCAATTTAGATATGTTCAATTATATATTTTGTCGTGTAAAGGAAGTAGTGACACGTAAAGTTCCAAAACAGCCTAATGATTCATATATCAAGCAGTTTTTAAACGCGTTTGTCGAGAAAAAGAAGATGTAAAATGCCATCGTCTTGTTTTATAAAAAGTCAAACTTTTTAAAAAGTAGGAGTTGAGCGACATCTTGTGATCCCTCCAACCACAGTAGTCCTTGATTGACGTCAATTAACATGTTTCATCAATCTTAGACAACTCATTCATAAATCTGTCATCGCATCATTTGATTGGTTACATTGACTCTATCGACGATAGAGAGTCGTGAATGGTCATATTCAGAAAAATTGTTCACTAGAAACCCTACGAAAGAGTATAAGACGAATGTAGAGATGAAACATTACATACGATAAGGGCTTCGATCTGAACAAACTGTCGATGGTAATTATTTGCTCTGGTGCTCTACATAATTATGACTAGCTCGATTGACATTCAGAATTATGTTAAATATTATTCTTGAAACAAAATAGAAAAACATACTTGTATGTGTATGATTGAAATGTTTGATCGGAAGAATTGCGATAGGAGAGAAATGCTCGAGTACCATAAACTTGCGCACTATGCTTAATAACTTCGTACAATGTTGTTATACCACATGTTTTATAATCGAAAAGTTCATTGGTATAGTCTGGATGTGCATATATATGTTTATTTGCATCAATTTCAATGGCACCTTTTGAACTAATTGTTCGTGTAATCAATGTTTGAGCAGATAAACGAAAATAACAACTTCGTAAGCCAATGCTGGACTGTTGGATGGAAATGATTGCCATTCGAGTCAACATTCTATGTATATGCCAACGTAGCGTCAATTGGAACGATTATTATGTATAGTTGACTTGTTTTCTTTTCTACTGCGTCACCATGTAACATCGCGCACATGTATTTTATTTTTCTCTTCCGAATCAAGTTTTTTCTGTCTTTGGTTTTCGACAGAAAGAAAAAAACAACGCAATTGCAATACAATACGTATAATAATCATTGACTGAAGTCGAAACCGAAGATCGATGCGATCTAAGGTGCTGATTGATCATTGTAAAATATTCGGCAAGCGAATAAATGGTAGTTCAAAGTTTACTTGTAAGGGACTAACATATAACAAATGTTATAACGTTTCATTATTCGAATAATTGTTAGAAGAAAGCAAGAGAATTTTTCTAATTAGAAATTGAACAACTGTTTTACGACTTTTTAACTTAAATAATATTGCAGAGATTTGTCAACGTGAGTTTTAAACATAGTCAAAAAATTTCAGATGCAAAAGCCATTTTATAGTTTTTGCAAGTGTCATATCTTGTGTCGTGTTTCATACGTGATAATGATGACTTGTTCCACAGCATTTAATCGTTGTGATATTGGCGTGTATGTGATATCATTTAATGATTTACGAGATGGTCAGAATTCGATCAAGTACTAAACTAAGTATTGCAGATCCCAATTATCCATTAAAACATGATGACAAATTTGAGCAGCTATCTGACGCAATTAAAACGAATGTGATTTATCGTCTCTCACTAGCATCAAATACTAGATATGAGTTTTAGTTTTCTTAATATTCTATTAATCATATGTTTTGCATGTTTAGATGTTAATAAATCTGATTCTGTTTCATAGAAAAAGGATATGCGATATCATGTTCAAAGAATAATCCTGATTTATCAAGATTTATTATTCGTGCATTAATTTTGAATAGAGAAAAGATGGGCGATGTGTGAAGCACGTTTACATATCTAGAACAATCATTTTAAATGCATAGTACTTAAGTGTAATAATATGGGGTACATTTCTCTTTTTAAAGCAAATGCAGTTGATTTTCCAATAGAATTAATAATCTATCATACTACGTAGTTGACTTGGATTAAAACTATCCCCTTGGAACATAAGTTCTGCACGTTCTGGGTACTATTCTTATAGGCCTATATATTTTGTGGAACTCACATATATTTTCGAAGAAAATAGTGAGTGTAAGTTTTAAGTTCGAGTTTTTAGGGCTACCCCCTCCCCTCCCCCGTCCACCACATTACAGACCTTAACAATCAATAATAAAAGATATTAAATTTTTTCGAGTTTTTCTTGGAAAATTGATCAAGTTATCATTTTGAAAAATAATTAATATCATTATTTGTGACTTGATTAATATATATGATGGTGTACAAGGTCTGCTGTAGATATCATAGATATGTAAAATACACTTATTTGTCAATCAATTAAATGATTATAATAATAAGAATGATAAATTAAGAAAAATGAATTTAAAAAAATAAAAAAA